ATGAAAGAATATTAGCTGAGATTTTTCAGTACACTCAAAAAATTTAAAAAGATATTCGAACAGCTGAGATCTTTCTTTACAAAAGCAAAGAAAAGAAAACAAACAACCTGACAGTATCATTTCTCGTATGTGCGTATACCATCAGGCCTGTATATTCTTTTTTTTTGTTCAAAATGTTTTATGTCATTGTTCACATGGTAAAATCATATGTGGTTAGTGAAGTAATGAAAAATAACCCTTTTTAATTAATTAATTTATTTATCTGCTCTATGATAGCAAATAAATGCCAAAAGGTAATAACGAAATGAATAGAATAATTGGAAATTAAGTGTGTGTTTTACCGTCTGCATGATGATGATTTATGCTGAATGTTTTTGTTGAATAGGAAGTTCTAATTGCTTCAGATTTGCAGATGATACGGTTTCACTGTAATCAATATGGATGTTTACGTCTTTAATAGCTTACAGTGAGTAGTTAGCCAGTTTACTATTATTACCTTCTGAGTGAAAAGTTTAGGAATGTGTTGGCGGTGGATCTGGCGTCGGTGGCATAGCGGTTAGCCCGCTCGCCAACCATGCACATGGTCCGGGGTTCGATCCCCGGCCGACTCACTCCTTTAGCTCACTTATGCAGTAATAAGACTGATAAAGGGGGAGGTTTTAGCATGCGGCTAACAACCCCATCCTGTAAAAAATAAACACTGCTACAGAAACTTCAAGCCTCCAGCTTGAAGCCCTATGTCCCACAGGGAACGTAAAGGAAATAATAAAAATAAATGGCGGCGAATCAAACGCTAGACCACATACGTGGTCAGTAAGCATTCTACTATTGAACGTCTGACGGTAAATATTATTTTTGTTTCCTGAATTCCGAGTGGAACATAAAGCGTTGAGCTTTAAAGTCTCAGTAGTGATGGTGTTGTTTGTTTTTACAAGATGAGTATGCGCTAACCTCATGACCAACCTTCCATCTTTTTTAGGCTAGTAAAGTAGGCAAGATTTAAGAGTACGTCAGCGGGGGCAGTGAACCAGGACAAGCTAAGCGGTGGGTTGCCATTGTACTATTGAGCCACCAGTGTCCTTTATAGAAGTCACAAAACTTTTTAACATTCCTTTACTTTACGGGTGGAATTTAGGTTTTGAAGTTTTGGAAGTTTCAGTGGCCATAGTATTCTTTATTCATGGAATGGGGTTGCTGGCCTCATTACTACTTACTAACAGATTATTTGTACGATTATCGACTATGACAAAGCTATATCGCCAAAATATCTTCATTTCCAAGATGTTCAATTTTTGAGAAGTATATGTCAATATTTAGTCACTGTATTAGTTTTATCATTTTCTGTAATACAGGCTGAAGCAAATTATTGCTGTTGTAAGTTGTTGATAGAAACGTGATTAATGAAACTGTACTATTGCTATTTATCAAACATATACAATTTTGAACTGTGCTACTGGCTTAAAAAACCATCGAATTTAAAAGTGTAAATATTTTTTGGGTTTTTTTTGTTTTTTTATTTATTTATAATATGAGTGTTTGTTGACAGTCCGTTGCTTGGTGACATATATCCATATATGTTTGTTGGCATGTCTGCTATATTTGCTATGTATAATTGGATCGACACTCCATTATAATTAGCCATTCATGTTAAGACTGTCTAATGATTTTTCCCACGCTTGTCTGAATTATTTATATATATTCGCATTCACAATTTGTGTGAACTACTTTACTTTACAACTACTTTACTTACTGACCACTTTGGTGTGAGACCATTTATTTTCGTCTCCTTGTGTTTGGACAATAGAAGTATCATCACAAACCTAGTGGTCTTCTGATTTCCGCCTTCTCGCGTCAGGATTATTAGTTTCTCGACCAGTCCATAACAATAATTTAGCGACGAGTACATAACAATTTGGCGACGGGGAAACTAGAACATAACAAAAAGTGGTTTATACGCATCGAAAGGACCTGTTGAAATCACCCATTGAAAGATGACTCCTTTTGTATAACCTGGCGGAACATCATGTTGTGTATTGAAAGCAAATATACCTAAACATATCTACACCATTACATGTTATATTCATTTGTTCTACTATGAAAATTACCTTTTAAAGATGTATGTGGTAGAGTAGAGTTTAAAAGGCAAAAGACAGAAGTTATGTAAAAGAATTTGGTGTGATAAGGTCCTTTAAAATCCCTTTGAAAAATATTCAAGTATTGGTTTGCATGGATTTAATTGATTGGTAACATGTTGACATGGGTTGGAGAACCATTGGGAAACCAGGGAGTACTGGAGAATTGCTTCTTTCTAGTTTGGGACTCCAGCAGCATGCACCCACACTACAGGGTTCGATCCAGGAACGTTTCAGTTACGATGCAAGCTCACTTGTAGACCATTAGGCCACTAAGACCCGATCCAATGGCCAGTCCATGAATTGCAACTTCTGCGAATTCACGAAATAGCGCGATCAATAGCCAATGTATTCGGCAAGTGTTTGTTCTCACGCCCAATCTGCCGTACTCTACTGGTCACGACTTCCCAAAAGAAACCCAGGCAACTACCTACCTGAATAAGAGTGATAGGTGCGTACTGATGAAGAGTCCAAAACTAGGCTGAAACAGCTGTCCAGGACTTCCAGGTTTTCCAGTGGTTCTCTTTGAAATAATTAACGGAATATAATCGAATTAATAAGCAACCAAGAAGAAGCGATGTAAGTGGTAATATATTGTTAGGGAAAATCGACTCGTGAAGGTTCTTATCGTATGGTTACAAACGATTAGTAAATCATAAAGGAGAATAAAACATAAAACCATAAAGACCAGGTTTCTAGAAGAACAGCTACACCATTGTTTGCATAAATAGATTTAAACCTGACACTAACAGAAAATCAAAACAGTGATTACCACCTGTCTAACGAAAAGCCTCTGTTACTTATACATTCAAAACTAACTTTCTGATCATGACTACTGAACCTAATACAAAGCACAAAATAGTAGAAAACAAAGAAGAGAAAATGTTAAGGGAATGTAACTTATTCGGTTGATTTAAAATATCGTTTCGGCCACGTTCAAAATAAAGTTGTTATTACATTTGTATTTGAAGAAATGTGTTTTGTTATAATAAGTTGTGCAGTAAAGATCCCATAAATTGACGATAACAGAAGCTTTGTACCTTTGTCATTTCTAATTTGCATTTCATATACTGCTCAAAACATCGACTGTGCTTTATAACCATGTATACTGTGAACCGTTTACGATGTTCATTAATCATAAATAAACTTATTTCTTATTGTCATGATGGCTTTTATCCACTCCACTGAAATGCCATTTAATAAATCATACAGTATAACTATGTATGAGGTATATAAGAAACAAACTAAAGTGTATGTATGATCCAATGACAGATCCAGTCAAAGGCAAAAAAGTAGATAAGCATTCTGGCAACAAGCCAAATTTATGCCTAACAAAGATGGCATTCAGCATGAAAAACAAGATCCGGATTTTCAACTCCAATGTGAAGTCAATGCTACTTTACGTACCAGAGACTTGGCGCATCACAAAGGTCACTTCGAACAAACTACAGACCTTCATTAAAACAGCTGTCTTTGCTCAAGATCAGATGGCCAGCAAGAAAAGATCACCAACAGGGAGGGATCTCTGGGAACGAACCAACCAGGAACCGATTGTGCTGTAAATATGCAGGAAGAAATAGAGGTGGATCAGCCACACTCTGAGAAAACCATCAAGAGACATCAGAAGACATGCCCTCAAGTGGAACCCAAATGAGAAACGGCGAGTTTGTTGTCAGTGCGAGGGTGACATGGAGGAGGTCATGTGAAGAGGTTATGAAGGAATGTGGGTAGACGTGGAGCCAGGTGAAAACGTTGGCAGAGAAGTGAACACAATGGAGACGTGCGGCTGAAGCCCTGTGTTCCTCTGGGAACAAAAGGAAACAATAATAATAACAAGATGCAGAAAGAAATGAAGATCGATTGGATATACGCTGAGAAGACCATTGAGTGACATCGCCCTTCAGGCCGTCGAGTGGAAGCCAAATGGAGAATGATGGATTGTGCCTCCGATGGTGACATGAAGAATATGTGAAGGAGAAATAAATGAAAGCTTATAGGCAGTCGTGAAGCCAGATAAAACGGACTACATACATGGAACTGAAATGGAGATATCCCCCTTGTAGGTTTATTTTTAACTCGGAAGTCAAGGAATGATGATAATGATGATACTTATGCATAATTCTTTCATTTTTCAAGTACATTTGAGCTTCTAGGCGAAAAAAGATACTTATCAGACTAGTACCGCACGAAAATTAAATATTTCTTGGAAATTTCACTCTTAGAACAGCAACTAGCAAATGAATGTGACACTTTGGAATGTAAAATATTAAAGCAAATATATGTAATGCGGATTTGTGACATACTGAAATGCCGTAAAAATTCACTACTTTTCAAAGTTTGTTTACCTACAACAACAACAACAGCAAAGAATTAAGTAGGTTGTTGAACAACGAGGTGGTTTTGTAAACCTCACACTGAAAGTCATCTGTTCATTAGCACACTATGAATCTCTTTTTCAGTAAAACAACAACCGTATAATTATTGTAAACTGAAAATATGTTAACTAGATGTTAACTAATGTAAACAAAACTAAGAAATGATGTAATACAGAACAAATTGAAGTATAAAATAACAAAATAAACACTACGTAACACATAAAATAAGCTTACTAGACATCGTGCATGTTTGATAACAACATCCAAACGTCGTAATGTCTCACTTAGATACAATTGAATTTGTACAGCTGGTAAATAATCGATACTCTGTGTTGTTGCCAACAGATCATTCGAGTTATTAGGAAACAATGGGAATGATGATGAGAAAAGCAGGGGAGTTGTAGACTTTTCAGTTAAGACTTCATTAAATAATGTTGGATTCCAATATTTAGATAATGCGGAGGACGATGAAGAAGTATTGTTGATTTCTACGAAAAAAACAAAACATTCAGGTCAACAGAATGAAGCTATATGAAAGTGTACACATTAAAATGTGAATGATGTCAGACAAAATAAACAGAAATCGTTGTTAGTATTAGTAACTTTTAAGTATTACATTTTGCAACAAACTAACACCGAACGAAGTCTTTAACTTTTAAATAATCAATGCACGAAAGTAATTAAACATGTAAGTAATGCAGCTTATTATGTGTAAGAAGGCACTGTATTGTTAAAATAAAGAGAATTAGGTTAGTGAGAAATACACCAAGTATAGAAAAGTATACCAAACGTCAATTTCAGTACAGTTACTCAAAGTCATTATATTGTTTCAAACGTTTTTGTGTTAGACATTTTAATAATAATAATAATGGCACTATTCTAGGAATTATGTTCAACACAATACAGAATTCTCAGAATAATTTATTGCAAAACATTTACTCCCATATGGATTCTTCAGTTACAGTATTCACCAACAGTACGTCTTAAGACGCAACGTCATTCTGTTTGAAACAAGACTCATTCATCTACGGCATTTATTCCTCTTGAAGTGCACAAAGTTAGATTGGAAGCCGATTAAACATTCACGTGAAATCATGTTACTATTCAAGGACATAACTGGAAGATTAAAACAACAAGAAATTGATTGAAATTTAAGTAGCCTAGTGATTTAAGCAGTCCACTAGAATCCAGGAGGCCAAAGAACTTATGCGTCATATACTGCTAGGCTTTTCAGAGTTGAGTTTAGGATGATATCTCTGTTTTCATTGTTATGTCACCGATCGGAAGATTGCGTTTCAAGTTTTACTTTATATTTTATTATAGCTTGATTCCACACAGTATTTTTCATACAAGTATGGAATTTTCAGCAAGTGATATTGGTAGCCCAAATTTAGCAGGTCGACCATTGATATCAGGTGTGTGTCGACCGGAGATCGAACTCCGGACTACAACCATCCTAGCCGCTATGTCACCGACGCACGCTTTGGCGTTTCACAAGCAGTGGATATTTTAAAAAATCTTTTTATGGGGTCAAGTTGTTAGTCTCATTCTCAGCCTTCCCCCTTGATCAGGCCTACTACTGAGTAAGAGAGGTTTGAGGGTGAGTCGACTGAGAATCGAAGCAGGACCAGGTGCGTGGTTGACCTCATGCTTCATGCTGTTATGAAATAGATGTATGCAGCTGGTATCAGGTTAGATTCATTCAGAATGTTTTTGTCACAGGGTTTCAAGATCATACTTTAACCTAAAGAAAATGTTATTTATCAAGAAATTAACTTAAGTTTAATTTATTATAAATATTTGAAATCAATGAAAAGTAGAAATTTCTCACAAAAAGCACGGTGTATAATAAAACCCAAAACCAAGTGAAAGGAAAATAGTTAAATGAATAACTACTGAGTTAGTAACTTTGCGCAAACACCCCGTTTAGCAAAAAAAGAAAAAAAACTAAGACATTATTTGTTAGTAAATAATAACGAGAAAAACAAACAATTTTTTTAGATTTATTCAGTTGAAAAAATTTGTAGCGCAAACTGATTTGCTTGAACTTATAGTCGAAATATTCATTCATCTACTTTTTACTCAAATACGTTATTCTTAGAATTTCAAAAAAAATTACTGGGTATATCGATCACTCATTTGAACAGGTAAAAAACTATGTGTAGATTCTTAAAATACATGAGAAATGTCATTTCTATTTCACACTAGTTGATAGTTATATTGGAAATTACTTACTAACTAGTGTCAAGCGGGAGTATCCAATACATTAGTGAGTCCGAGTAGTCCAGAGGTAACGTCTTTGAATGCGACATTAGATGACGCGGGTTCGAATCTCAGAAGGGTTATGAGCTCCTTCTAGACTGCAGATAGGCCTTGCTGGCTGGTGAGTTTCAACAAGTACAAAACCTAGGTGGTCCAAGGCTTTATGTGGCCGACTGTCTCCAACTATCAATTAAGACACTGACTGATGATATACGAATCAGAATCACTGCTAGCATTGCATAAGTTGAAATTAGCACTCACTTAAATAAGCTGCTTAATCAAACAAGCATTCTTCAACTTCGACCCCTCTATCTTATTCTGTAAGTGAATGTATATCACAGAAACTTCGGATCTGTGAATTCTGTTTACAAAAGGTGACTGAATTGGAAGAACATTGTTGATGCAGTAGATTATATCCATTAACGCATACCATGGAGTACATCTCATATGTAATCCACTTCCATAAAAGTAGAAGTTTCAGATGAATTCTATTACTTGATAACATCAATATAATAGTCTCTTAGGTTTGCATTATTCGAGTCAAAGGTTAGATATTTTCAAAGCAACATTTCAACTGTCTCAATTCGTTCAAAGGAGTGACCTCAGCAATAATGAACCACAGAGAAGACAAGCTAATCCAGAAACTAAAGGATATATATATATTAAAAAATCTGTTACAAATTTTTCGGCAGCTATTTAGGCTTACTGAATGAAAGTGATTAGACAGCTGTAAGGAAGAAAACACAGTTTGCAAATAATAAGTATCATTTGAACGCTAAGTAATACATATTGAAAAGATGTTAGGTGCATGGAGATGTAGAATTACCTAGTTAGTTGGACACAATACAGAGGTAACTAAAAGAGGTTAGTCAGTCAGCACCACTACTCAGGACTAGATACACGATATAGGTTACTCCGTAGTGATCAGTTAATATTGCTGCGTCGGTGGCACAGTGGTTAGGACTCTCGCAGGCCATGCCCTTGGTTCGGGGTTCGAGCCTGATATCTATAGTTGGCCTGCGAATTTCGGGCTACCGATATCCGCACTGAAAATTCCATACTTGTACCAAAAATACGGTAATACTGTAATCAAAAATAAAAATTATAATAAAGATACCCTAGTTAACTTTATATTTAATGGTCTCAAAACATTTAAGGATTCAATATTTAACGTCCACTACTATTAAAATCTTTTATCCATCGGTGAATGAAAAAAGACAGTTTTTTCACTGATTTCTCATTATTCACGGCTAACCGCTTCCATAAAATAGTATTACTTTAAGAAAGTTGAGACAAATGGCGCTCAAGCAACAGTACAAGAACACTGAGTGAATGCAATAGGAGTTGAGAAATAATAAGATTGATAGATGACTAGCAGTGGATTCCAGGATGTGTATTTAGTTCTCATGTTCCTACTGGGATTCGAACCCTATACGGCAAAGCATAGTCTGGTAAGCCACTAGGGGCGCGAGAACCACCTCTTGTTCATAGGGTATAAGTCGTCATATGCTTTTTGGTCAGTTCACATTTCACTATGGTTGATTATGCTTGACCAAAATACTCAGTCTCTGTTGATATGTTACCATAGATAATTCTTTGATGTTTGAAACTATGGGTAGTGGATTTGATTTTCAGTGGAAACACCACCAGTCACTTGAAATGCAAGTACCTCCAGTCAATGAACAGGAAGATATGCACACTGCTGATTCAACTGCTGGTCACAATCAACAAAAATAACATCAAGTTAATCTTCACACATCGTAGAAGAGTTCACGCTAGGAGACGACATATCAACGGGGATCGGAAATTTCGGTCCAACATAATTAGTCGATCGGAAATGAAAATTAACCCAAATAGATAGTGAGCATAAAGTTGATGTTAATACAGCATTAAAAATTATCTGCCGCATTCCTAATAATCTTAATTTTGCTTTATGAGTTCATCTCCTAAATACAGTTGAAGCCATGGGAATCCAACAGAAGAAGCCAAATCTGTGCGTTCAGAGGAAAACTGTACAGCCACTTTCCTCACCTTGACCATCGTTACATGAATGTATAAACGGACTACTCACCCCTTCTCCTAAACCTTATAAAAAGTATTATTATCTAAATTATTTTATTCTTATGACTAATTCCTCTTTGAGCAGAAGTTACTATCGTCCAAATCGTTTTATTTTTCTTTAAAAATCTGTTACACAATCAACTTGACACTCATTATTCCTTAGTTACTCTTCATTTTTAAAATTATGTATCATGCAATCTACGTGTTTAAGTATTTTACTTTTAATTGTATGCATTAATTTTCTTCGTTAATTATCATCCCATTGACATTGTTGATACTGAATAATAATAATTATTATTTTAACAAAGATATCGACACTTGATTGGTAAACTGTTGTGTATTGTAATAAAACTTCTAAAATAATAGAGGCAGAGATCAGGATCTAATTGAAAAGTAAATTTTTTTCTCAATCCTTTTGCTTTCTAAATGTCTAAACAGGGATTTTTTTCTATGCTAAATTTATTGGTCATGTTCACGCGATAATTTCCTTTATGAAACTGATGTCAAAAAGATGAAACATCTTGTAACCGGAATTCTTTATGAATACCGAAATGTGGAGTATGTCTCTACAGAATTAAGAGGACTGTCAATCCTCACATTTTGTTTATCTTAAAAGAAAATGATAAAAGAGTCCAGACAAAGTTTACAATCTATGACCACTAACAATTTCATTCATATGAAACTAAATATTCTGGATTTCACAGTCATCCAGGGATACATGGCTTGTGTGAATCATCACTTCATTAAGAAACTCTACTGATACATAATCTTTTGAAAATCCACCTCAATAAAGAGATAAACTACAATTCACCCATCTTTTAACTATAAAACGATATTATTACATAACGAATGTTGAGAATACGTGTAACTGCTGACATCACTTTTGAATTTCATCATCAGTTATGTGGATATGTATATTTTTCAAGGTGAATTTCATCTCAATCTAATATTATCCAATGAACCACTGAATGGCGAATGTTTTGTTCAAGTCTAAGACTCTTTAGCAGTAAAAGCACTTACACTTTAAAGGCTAAGTCTTTTATATTTTTTACTATGATAATTTTATATGTACTACACTCAGCTTTTCTGGTTCTCCATAATCAGTTGTCATATTCACTGCTTGAATAGACGATAATGTTAAACTAAATATTATCGATCTACAGAGAAGACGAAGAAGTTCAAAGACAGTGATACATGAATATTAGCATAAAACCTGGGCATTGAGGTAGAGTACAACTCCATTATGGGTAAGATTTTATTTCGATAAATCACACAGTGTTATACAGTAATTTTAACTGATAACTTTTCGATCACAAATTATTGCTCATATTGTCATATAAAGTCACTCGCACAAAAGCAAAAAGTTGTGTTAGTGACTTGATATGATTATAAGCAATAATATTTGCTCAAAACATCATCACTTAATATTACTGTGTAGCACTGTGTGATTTATCAAAATAAAATCTTACGCATAATGGATTGATATATGAAATAGACAGAAGAGTGTAAGAAGTTCAGAAAAGATAACTTCCCGGAGATTTTATTCACAAATGTTGAACAATCGCATTTGATACAGATAAGTTTACATAGATACAATTATTTACTTAATTCCACATAATAACAAAAGAGTACTAAAGGTGATAATACTTTTCAACTTGAGATGAAAGTTCGAAAGTGTGAAAGCAGATTATAAGAACCTAAGAAACAAATTTACAGAAAATTAGAAAATAGTTGCGTTATATGTATTATTACCGTATGTTGTTATCATTATTTTATTTTATTCCTTTACGTTTCCAGAGGAACATGGGGCTTCCAAGCTATGCCTTCGGTAGCAGTGGTGTTTATTTTTACCGGGTGAGGTTGCTAGCCTCATGTCCAACCTTCCCTCTTTACCAGTTTTATGAACGGCTTAGCGAGGGAAAGGAGTGTATTGGCCAGGGATCGAACTTCTAACCAAATGCCTGGTCAGTGAGCATTTCTAAATCTGTGCCACCGACTCACTCAATATACGTAAAATAGTTTGCCGAGATTTCTTCGCTGATATTCTTATTGTTTTCTCTCTAATATCTTTTTGCGTATTTTCTACATTACACGAAATAAATAATATATATATATCAGCGAGCTATTTAACTGAATATCTTTGCAACTGAGTTTCCAGCTTCATTTATTGGCCAGCTAGCAGTATATCAAAAGAGAAACCACTCTTGCAGTTAGTAATAGTAGTCTGCATGACTTACTGCTGTTTACCTTAAATAGTGTATTTCACAAGTTTGTATCTTTCTATATCACCAGTTTGCGTGCATATTCTGAAACTTTTCAGTTTTTACTAATCACTACAGGGTAATTTTAAAATTTAAGAAATATCTGCCCTAAAATATGCTTTTAACAACGTCAACTGTTCAACATGAAGGAACCAGTTTTTCTATTACCATTCACATGGGTAAATACTGATTACTGGTGTTTGTATGTTCAAAGTGTTGTGCGTGTGAGTGAATGAATGATACAAAGAACAAAAAGGGCATATTAGGTTACAAAATGAAAAATGTAGAGATTTTAGGAAATATTCTCTACGCCTGATTTTATTTAATCCTAACCTTCTGCTACTTATGTATATATATTACGAATACAACATACAACTTACTTTCATTTTAAAAAACAAGGTCAAAATGTTACTACAATTTCGTGTTTATTCATTTGTGTTTAAGGTTTTTATTCTAGTCAATAGAAGTGTTTATCTCACCTTAGTACAGCCATAACAACAGTTCTAATACTAATAAGTCCCAATTAAAAGGATAACATTAATGGTAATAATAATAATAAAAAAAAGAGCTTATAGACCTGAACAAAAGTTACAGACAGGACAAGGTGGGAATTAAAAATCATATGAGAGTAGAAATGTTCACTAAGCTGTTTTAACTGGTAGATTAATAGAATCAGTGTTAAGCAACATTTGAGTTCAAGTTTACGCATATTTGTTAAGCGATAGGTTCCTCCTTAAGGATACAAATAACTCAGCTCGTAGCATACTTGATTTATGATAAGCTTTCGTAGTTCTCAAATTTCTATTTGGAGCATATTCTTCTCAGAGAAGGTTAATTATGGAAGACTCCCTTCGGTTAATTTTACTAGTATACTGTAATCAGTAGAACTATGAACTTTGGAATAGGTTAAAATAACTATAAAAAAAATACAACACATGAAATTATTTCTAGTCAAAACTTAATTCAGTGCTAAATGGTCGCAAATCCTTTAGAATAAGGTAAAATATTTATTATTTTTTTAAATTCATTCACGTTCCTAGTGGAATATAGGGCTTTAACCCATAGGTTTGACGTTTCGGTAACAATGGTTTTTGTATTTTGACGGGGTGGGGTTGCTAGCTTCATGCCCAACCTTCACTCTTTACCAGTCTTATTACTTACTGGTTTAGCGAGGTAAAGGAGTGTATCGGCAAGAGATTGAACCCCGAACCACCTGCGTGACTGGCGAGCATTCTGTCGTTGTGCCACCGACATGTAAAAAAGCTGGCAACAAGTGGTATTCATATTCAAACTCTTATAAAATTCAAAAATATGATCACATTGCAAAATATTACTTAAGATAATTTGAGTTCTTGATAAATTTGAAAGGTTTAAACAAATTAACAACATCAAACTAGGGAATGAT